CCCCAAAACCCCAAAACCCCAAAACCCCAAAACCCCAAAACCCCAAACAACTCTATAAAAATGAAGAAAATTAAATTTAAATAATAATAAAAGAATTTCATCATGGGTTGACAAGGATCTACTAACCAGGCTAAGAAGTCTACTAAAAAACAGACCAAGGGTAAAGCTACCAAGCAAGGTCAAGTAATGAAAAACAAAAATGGGAAGCAACAAGTCAATCAAATGGTAATAATCAGACAATACACACAAGTTTATTTGTTTGAATAAACTCAAATTTCTTTCTGATCAGCAAAATACTCTAAGGACAAGCATAAAGAGCCTTCATAAGAGTCATAGAGTACATCCTAGTTTTGTTGCTGAGAAAGAGACCACTTTTTAAGTACAGCTAGAAAGAGATCCTCTGGTTTCTGCAAACAAAGTTTCTTGCACAATATGATTAGCAGTTTGCACAAAACCTTTGGTTTATTAAACATATTTATGGTTGGCCCTAAAGTACTGGAGATTACATCGCCGTTGTAAAATTTATAAGAAAGATTTAAAATTTAAAATTTGAAAATTAATGGGAAACCCTGACCGAATTAATTCAAAATATCTTAGCCTGCTAAATAATTTTAAATTAAAGATACTGAACATGTAATGAGTATTTTTAATGACAATAAAGTATTAGGATAATGCATGCTAATTGTTAGCTTTCAAACTCCGACTGCTTATCTCAAATAGGCTGTAAACTCTGGCTGCATATCTGAAATAAACTACAAACTGTTAGTTTTCACCAGTAGCTAAATCAAATCTTACTTAAAACAATTCAGAAATCCAAATGACATTATTTGGATGAAGTTATCTGAAACTTAAAAGCCCCAACAAGTGGCTAGTGCATAACCCAACATTGGCTTATTCTTAATATTGCCAAAAGTTTAACAAAGCAGATGAGTTTTAAGTAATTCCCAAAATTAGTTAATAATGTATTTATCAGTAAACTTTGAATTCTGAAACTATATAAGCATGGTCTTAGCACTTTATGTATTTGGCTGCTATTCTTAAATAATCTACATCTCTACAATATCTACAGATTCAATATCTTATGATTTCTCCACCATCAACTTCTCTAAAATCTCAACATAAGCCTAATACTATTATCTGTGAACGATGGAGAGTTGGACTCTTTGAAGTGAATCTATGCTTATCATTAATACTTTGAAAATTCATAAAAATATACTCCTCTTATCATTCGTTCCTTTCTTCAGAATTTTATGAAAACCAAAATCTTTCTTGAAACAGTGTCATTCCTATGATTCTCATAATTACCCTTTGAACCTCCTCTCCTAGCCATCTAAATTTTTCACAATAGAATGGACAAAATGAAGAAGTTAAGGTATCGAACTCAGCTGCTGCAAAGGTATCCAAACTCTAACCCATAGGGATCGGCTCCATCGGCTGCTTCAGACTCCTCTGATATCGATAGACTTGTTCAGAAGTATCTGACTGACAAGGCATATCAAGGGTATCTAAATATGAAGCTCTTATCTCTCCGCCTCTCAGTGGTAGGAAACAAGAATCTTCTCCAATCTATTGCAGGCCTACCTGTAAATAAAGATGATCAGTAAGAAATTTGGTATCATTTTTAGACCTAAAAATGCTCTCAAGGTCCCTCCTATTAAGGTCTTTAGCTTATCTGATATTGACAGCAGCAACCAGGATGTAGTCCAAGAATTTTTGAACAAAAGTTTTCCAGACTCTTTAGAACTCTTAGCCCTCAAGGTGACTGCCTCCAAGTCTTCTCTCGATATCGATTTATTCCTAACCCAACTGACCAAAGTGAACTCTAACATAACCCTATCTCTGAGACTGCACAAATTTAAAATCCCGAAGAAATCCTTCGAATCCATAATAAACTCATTCTCCCACCTCAGAGAAATCTGGTTCGGGAGTTCAACCATCGACTCTGAAGACATCTCCTTCCACAAATCCACTAACTTCAAACTTGAAAAACTAGTGTTCCACTACTCAGGAACTCCTGACTGCAGCAACTGGGAAGGCTCCCCTTCCAAAGTATCCTCTATTGCCAAGGCTATCAACGGGTGCACTCTAAAAGACTCCCTTAAAATCTTCAAATGCATAAACAACAAGTTCAAACTAAGCACTCTGCAAGAAATCTTCGACGAAAACGAACTTTCCCAAATCCAGATCGAACATGAAGACTGGGACAAAGCCGAAGACGACCAGGACAGCAGTGGGGCTGACAGCGCTGATAGTGATGAAGAGGCCAGTGATGACAGTGACGACCAGGAAGTCAGTGACAGTGATGATAGTGAAGAGGATAGTCAAAGCGATTAAGTACTGCTAAGGATGTAATTGTAGATAGTGACCATTATTGATAAAGATTTTATAGCTATTCCTCAATATTTTATTTAAATCGAGGGGTTTTGGGGTTTTGGGGTTTTGGGGTTTTGGGG